TGTATGTATGTATGTATGTATTCTCCATTTTTACAGGTGTGCAGACAGATGTCAGGTGTGTTGTCTTGTGTTTTCTTGGTTTATATTTCACATATCTTCTCTAATCTCTTTCATTCTTTCCCACTACATTTCTCCCTTTTCTTCTTTTTCTTCTCCTATATATTTAAAAAGTCACTGATGATGAAGAAACTAATTAGTTCTGTTTTCTACTGAAGTAGCTAAAAAATTCTCCTATTTGTTTGTAGTAAAACTTCTCTCACTTGAAGCAAAGTCAAAGTCGAATAAACACTAGAGAATTTWATAAATTTCACCAATTTATTTAAAACGTGCTCACAGAAATAATAGAGTAACAGCRCTRAACTTCTGTCATGTTGGGAGTGTCCACAAATAACTACCTTTTTTCCTTTACACTTGTGTCTAAAACTTAGCCTCACCTGTTTCAGGGAGTCAGGGCACCTGCTGAAAGTGAATCATGGTCTGTGTGTGGCCAAAACCGGCTCTAATTAGTTTTCAGCAGTGAAGCAAGSACGACAGTCCCAGTGTTAACCCAGTCCCCTTTAAAGACAGAGAGACGATCTAACGGTTGTGTTTTGGCCTATAACGAGAGACGAAACATTTAAACTTGTGATTCATTCAGAAAGCTGTTAAGTAAGAACCACCCACGTAATTATTAACTTCACGTGTTGATGCAACAGTGACTTTGCCCACACAATTATAGGGTTTTAACTTCACGGCTGAGGCTGGCCAGCAGCAGATGGTCTGAAACTCTGGTGATGGAAGCCGAGCCGCAGAAACTCAGCCTGAAGCGGGAGGTGGGGCTGATGGGGGCTGTGTCACTGATAGGGGGGACAATGATCGGATCTGGGATCTTCATGTCTCCGCAGACGGTGATCTCCTCCRTCGGCAGCCCCGGGGCCAGCCTGGTGGTCTGGGCCTGCTGTGGCCTGCTGGTGATCACGGTGTCTTTCTGTTACGCCGAGCTGGGCACCGTCATCACAGAGTCGGGAGGAGAGTACATCTAYATCCTTCGGACGTCGGGCCCAGTCGTCGCCTTCATGCTGGTGTTCAGCTCAGTGTTCTTCGTCAGACCAGCCGGCGTTGCCGGCATCGCCCTGAGTTTCGCTCAGTACGTCGTGGCTCCTTTCTATTCTGAGTGCACCCCTCCCGTGCTGGTGGTGAAATGCGTGGCAGCAGCTGCCATCATAGCCTTGGCTGTCGTCAACTGCATGAACGTTCGCTTTTCTATGTCGGTGCAGGTGTTTTTCATGGTGGCCAAAGTTGTGGCCTTGGGGGTCATTATCGTCGGAGGGGTGGTGATGCTCATCGGGGGCCACACCGGGAGCTTCGAAGACTCCTTCCAGAACACAAATGTTGGTATCAACCCCATCGGTATCGCTTTCTACCAGGGACTGTGGTCGTACGACGGCTGGAACAATCTGAACTACGTGACAGAGGAGCTGAAACGTCCCGAGGTAAGAGGATTTATTCATCAGCTGGTGGGCGGTAATGGCTTTAAAAATTAAACTGTGGTAGTAGCCATGGCTGAAACTCATGAACCTCTGTATGGATTTCAAAAAATCTTTAGATGTACATGTAAATTATCCTTCTCATTGTAGAAAATTAGACTCTGGATAGTTTGACCCTCCCAATTGGTTTCTTTAAGACCATTGCTGATGTCATTCCACCTTGGCATTGTGTTACACACTTGATCCTATTGCGGTCCAGATTTTGTGGAATAATTGRCGTTCTTGCGTTGTTCACAAGTTGCAATTATCTTGTTTTATGAACAGTTAAGATAAGAGGTCTTACTTTGTTTATACAATATGCTGATATGTTATAGGATGACTCTGAAGATGGTTGATTATTAGTTTTAGTGATCAATAAAACTGGTTGAAGAACAAGAACAGAGTATTTTTTAGAAGCTATAGAACAATTGTCCTTGCTATTTCACGGGATTGATCTAAATGGAAGTTATTGTTAAACTTTAGAGGACTAAATTATCTTGGACATGGTTTGCAGGAGTGTTACTCAACATTTCATTCATTTCCAAATTCTTAAAGCAGCTTTCTGGTCAGGTTTGGTCAAACTGCAGCCAGCTCAAAAGCATGCAACTGGAAGWGGGAGTGCAGTCGAACCGCTTCACAATACTGTTATTTACTGTCTACTTTCCCTCTTGTTGAGTCAAACATTACCTAACCACTCACTGTTAAATACAGTGTAGTCGGTATTTCTGTCATTATCAGCAGTGCTGAGGAAGGAGCCACTTCAGACGTCCGATGATGGCAGAGAAGCTCGGTCTGAAGAGGGAAGTTGGGATACTTGGAGCCATGTCCTTCATCGCTGGGACCATGGTAGGATCTGGGATCTTCATTAACCCCCAGTACGTCCTGCTGACCATCGGCAGCCCCGGTGCCAGCCTTCTCATATGGACCTGCTGTGGGCTGATTGCCATGCTTGGGGGCCTCTGCTATGCTGAACTGGGAACACTCATCCCAGAGTCTGGAGGGGAGTACATCTAYATACTGAGGACTGCTGGGAAAGTGGTGGCCTTCATGTTTGTGTTCAGTTTCATCCTCGTCATGAGGCCCGTGAGCGCTACAGGGATAGCCCTGAGCTGTGCAGAATACGTTGTGGCCCCATTCTACAGYGGCTGCACCCCTCCACAGCTGGTCTTGAAGTGCGTGGCTGCGGGTGTGATCCTGCTGTTGTCCATTGTCAACTGTCTGAGCGTGCGTTTGGCCACTGGCATCCAGGTGGTCTCGATGGCGGTCAAAGTTGCGGCGCTGGCGGCAATCATCCTATCAGGGGTCGTGTTGCTCTTCAGGGGCAACACGGAGAACTTTGACGAGCCCTTTGGGGGRACAAATGTGGGCGTTAGCGCCATTGGCTTGGCTTTCTATCAGGGTTTGTGGTCCTATGACGGCTGGAACACTTTGAATTACGTAACCGAGGAGCTGAAACGACCTGAAGTAAGACGTTTAAACTCTGCATCTTCAACCACAACATCTTGTATATCTTATCTTTTGTGTGTGTGTGTGTGTGTGTGTGTGTGTGTGTGTGTGTGTGTGTG